CCTTCTTAGGAGCATGTTTTTAAAGGCGAAAGGGAACAAGGAAAGGGCTGTTTGATGGGAATTCTCATTGGTTTACAGAGACCACATTGATTACTGATTGGCTCTACTCTTTTTTTTTTTTTTTTTTCAGACTGTTTCTCTGTTGTCCAGACTGGAGTGCAGTGGTGCGATCTCAGCTCACTGTAACCTCTACCTCTCGGGTTCAAATGATTCTCCTACCTCAGCCTCCCAAGTAGCTGGGATTACAGGCGCCTCCTACCATGGCCAGCTGATTTTTGTATTTTTAATAGCGATGGGATTTCACCATGTGGGCCAGGCTGGTCTCCAGCTGCTGACCTCAGGTGACTTACCCACCTCAACCTCCCAAAGTGCTGGGATTACCGGCATGAGTCACTGCGCCCGGCCTGGCTATACATTGTTGAACTACAGAGTATAAGTTATGGTATACAGTATGTCCAGTATTGTTAGCTTAATTTATAGCTACTTGGTGTCAGTCTAAAACTCCCAACAAGTGGCTTCAAGAGATAGTTATTTGGCTGAAGCGGGAGGTGAGACATGACTGCTGTCGCATTTCAGTGCCTCTCTGGGCCTGCTGATAATGTAAAGGAGCTTCCATTCCTCAGACAGAAAGTTTCTTTTCTTTCTCAAAGCTCCTGCATATCATTTGCTAGCAAGCTTTATTGCTGCTTTTAAAAAGGGGAAATCAATGAGCCGAGAAAATTCAGAGGAAAAAAATCAGTTTTATTGATGTTTCTGGGTGGTGATAAGGAAGAGGCTTCATGTTGAAAATTATAGCAGTAAAAATTATAATACAGGTAAATTTCTTATCACAAAATAATGCAAACATATCATAGCTTTCCTAAACTTTGCATTGTACTAGACATTCTTTAGCGTACCATGAAGAAATATAGCAAGCTAAGTCAAAAGGGATGGAGAAAAGACCATTTAAAAAATACATAAAATGTGTGAATTTTGGTTTTGTCCAGGGACTTCCTTTTTAAGGAAACATTCAAAGGACCCAACTCTAGCAAACAAATCTGTGATTAATTACATGATTTGGACAGGTCCTAGATTTTCTGTTCTAATGTGTTCTTTTTGGGAATGTGTCCCTTTCCCAACCACAATGGTGAAATTTAAATAAAATAATATGATATTCTTCTTTAAACTTGCATGGAACTTTGGAATTTTCAAAGATTTTTCACCATATTGTCTCGTTTGTTGTTCATAATGGCCTAACGGGAAGAGAACAAATATTCTGTAGACCGTGCATGTTGAGATACTTATGGCTCAGAGATCAAATCCTTTCTATAGAGTCCCGCTGATAAATGGTAAATACTAGATTCGGATCCAGATCAGCAAACATGGAAGCCGGTGTTCCTTCCAGTAAATCCTGCTGTGTCTCGCTACACTATGAGGCTGCCTTGAATGCCAACTGTTACTTATCTTTGGACCGTTTTCACACACAGCACTCACCCTGAGGCGAACAGCAGCAACCTGTGCAAAGAGGCCCTGACCCCCTGGGGAGCTAGCTTGACCAGATTAGGAGATTTGGGCAGGCACTGGGCAACCACCAGATGAAATCACTTGGCAATGAGAGGAAAAGAAGCAACAGGGCTCCTTGTAGACATATGCGTAATACAAAACAACTAAATATACATAGGAATGATACAAAGCCACTAATGATACAAACAGAAATGATACAAAACTACTAATGATACAAACATAGGAATGATACAAAACTACTAACGATACAAACATAGGAATGATACAAAACTACTTAATGATACAAACATAAATGATACAAAACTACTGATACAAACATAAAAATGATACAAAAATACTAATAATACAAACATATGAATGATACAAAACTACTAAATGGAAACAAAACAAAAAGATCTCAGAAGGTGAATGTCCTTTTTTAAATAAATTAATTTTATATAATATCTTTCAGGTTTCATATGAGGATTTCTTTTTTTTCTTAGAGTTTTCAAGCCTTTACAACACAATATTATGTTGTATACTATACATATAAAAAATAAATCTCAGAAAAGTGATCTATTCAAAAAAATAGGGTAAAAAATATCCTTCAAAAAAATAGCTTATGTTTGCCAGGGGTGGAGGCTCACGACTGTAATTCCAGCACTTTGGGAGGCCAAAGTGGGCAGATCACATAAAATCAGGAGTTTAAGACCAGCCTGACCAACATGGTGAAACCCTGTCTCTACTAAAAATATATTTTAAAAAATTAGCCGGGCGTGGTGGTGGGCACCTGTAATCCCAGCTACTCTGTAGGCTGAGACAGGAGAATTGCTCGAACCCAGTAGATGGAGGCTGCAGTGAGCTGACGTGGTGCCACTGCACTCCAGCCTGGGCAACAGAGTGAGATTCCGTCTTGAAAAAAAAAAAAATAGCTTATGTTTATTAAGCATGACTTTTGTGTCAACCCCATGCTATGCTCTATTTGTTGAATTCTGTTATTGAATTTCTTGCAATTCTGTTATGATTCCTATTTTATGGATGGAGAAACTGCAGCTTTCAAAAGCTTAAATTTAAGTGTCAAAATCTTTTAATTAAAACTCAGTGTATTCATTTTACTAGAGAAATTTTTGGAAACAAATGTAGCTAAACATTTCTAGTGAATTTGTTATTAAACCACATATACTATCAAAGTGCAGCAATCTGCTCAGTTCTGATCCTGCCAGAATTTCATCCAGTTTTATATTTAAATGTTTTATATTACACAATTTTTAGCAGGATAAAAATATTTTAAGGCAGTAATAAAGATAATATTTTACATTTATAAGATCTTTATGCCTTTTCAAATTTATGTGGCAGACTTAAGTAATTAAATGGATAACTTGATTGGAAAAACTTCTATTTCCTTGAATTGCCCAGAATGAAGTTTCCTCAAGCATGCTCTTATAGAACTAAAGGTAATAATTAATGGTGTATAGAAAGCAGTTCTATGGTCAGAGAACTTTGGAAAACACTGTGCTAAGCATCAGTAAGTGGGTTTCTTTTCTGCAGAACTTCTCTAAGCCTATATATGATGAGCCTATACCTATCTTAAAGAGGAAGATTTAATAAGCAGTATTTCCCTAACTTATTAGTTTTATATGTAATTCTTTACCTAACTCTCATTTCAGAACATCAGCATTTTATGGAGCCTAGTTTTGGAAAATGCTAAACTAGTATCTGGGAAGAAATACTGATATTTAAAACCTAGGTGCTTGTCATCTACTCAGATGGACCATGAAGCAGCTAATCTTCATTTGTGTAGACTTGGCACTATTATTATTCAAAGAACAGTGATTTGTTCTATGCCTTAAACTATGAAAATTTAAACCCATTTTCCTTTTTTTTTTGAGACAGGGTCTCACTCTGTTGCCCAGGCTGGAGTGCAGTGATGCAATCACAGCCCACTACAGTCTCAATCTCTTGAGCTCAAGTGATCCTCCCACCTTGGCCTCCCATGTAGCAAGGACTACAGGTGTGTGCCAGCACGCCCTGGCTAATTTTTGTACTTTTTGTCGAGATGGGGTCTTACTATGTTGCCCAGGCTGGTCTCAAACTCCTGGGTGCAAGTGATCCTCCTGCCTCAGCCTCAAAGAGCGCTAGGTTTATAGGTGTGAAATGCATCTCGCCTAAACCCATTTTTTATTTTAAATGTACTATTCACATTATATGTGTTCTTTATAATCATGAAAAGTTAGTAGATTCTATACTTTAAGATAGCTGTGCTTAAGTAAATTATTTTACAGATGTTGGATAACATCTCTGTTAAATAACAGAAGAGTATTTAATGAGATGGGAGCATTCTCAAATTATACTGAGAAGTAGGCCGGGCACAGTGGCTCATGCCTGTAATTCCAGCGCTTTGGGAGGCCAAGGTGGGCAAAATCACTAGGTCAAGAGATCAAGACCATCCTGGCCAACACGGTGAAGTCCCGTGTCTACTAAAAATACAAAAATTAGCTGAGTGTGGTGACATGGACCTGTAATCTCAGCTACTTGGGAGGCTAAGGCAGGAGAATTGCTTGAATCTGCGAGGTGGGGGTTGCAGTGAGCCAAGGTCATGCCACTGCACTACAGCCTGGCAACAGAGCAAGACTCCCTATTAAAAAAAAAATACAAAAATTAGTTGGGCATAGTGGTGGCCACTTGTAATCCCAGCTACTCTGGAGGCTGAGGCAGGAGAATCTCTTGAACCCAGGAGGTGGAGGTTGCAATGAGTGTAGATCTCACCATTGTACTCCAGCCTGGGCAACAGAATGAGACTCTGCCTCAAAAAAAAAAAAAAAAAAAAAAAAAAAAA